ACCTCACTGCCTCGGCATACGCAGAGCCGCTTCCCCAGAATATATGTGTGGCCGTCTTAAGATCAGAGGGACAGGTTTGAGGGGTATACTTCGACTTTAGAGTGTATGTGCCGAGTGTATCCTTCTGAGAGTAATACCATTACTGCCAACGACAATCGCCTATTTGGATGACCATCACACGAGCATTGCATATGCGATTCACTAACGACCGTGTATTCGACTCGGGGCAATTAGGATAATTACGTGTTAACTGAGGGATACTCCTCTAACAGGGCATATGTAATGATGGTGAGTCGTAAGGCTACACATCGTCCCGACTGCTCACCCGATGAGCCTCTCCACTCGAAACATGTTGCCGTTCACCAGCGTCACAGTGTGTGACTTTTATCCACCTCTTGAGGGTTGGAGCAATAGCGGAGATATCAGGATCTTCCTTCTCCCCCAGACCATCGGCCGTACCTACATAACCTACATAAGGATTGTCATGATGATGATGATGGCCATACCAGTGCACCAGAGGCCACGCTTAGCGAGGTGCCTCCAAGTGGTGGTGCCGGCAACCCATACTGGGACATTGAGCTCATTGATGGACTCTATTAGAGTGGTAGGGGACGACGGTAAAGCCGATGCTTTGGCAATCCAAAGGCCCACCTAATGAGATCACCCAACTACTCCTCGACAGGGTATGTCGAGTTGAATTGATGTCGTGATGGTTTATCCTCCACAAGGATACCCTATCACTGGGGCAGACGTCCATGTCCAATGCGCATTTAGATAGTTCAGTCAAATATGGATCCTGGTTAACGATCCGAGTTAACATTCTTAGACTACCACACTTGAAACAAGTGAGCCTAGAGACGGATTAGGATGGTCCACGCAGAGTCGGACTTGAAGACAGCACTCGCAAGATTGCTAGGATGTCGCGTCGGGATAGCAAAATGGAAGCACTATCTACGCATCACTCCACTCTGCGAGCTGATCTAGATTTGTGCGCCGTGTGATAACTGTCCCTTTCAGCGGCGAAGCGACGTGTG